TTTTAACATCATTTCTAAATAATTTTCATACTTTTTTATTATTTTGTTACTTATCTCGGAACTTAAAAGAAAATAAAGTTATGAATTAAATGCAAAAGCAAAATAATATAGTTTAGCGTTTATATTCCTTACAAAATAATTTACAATGTTTAATATGGATACGAGAATGTCCTTTCTAAAATAAATTACGAAAATCAAGAAAATAAATAAAAAGTCAATAATTGAGTATTTTAAGACGATTTTTACTAGTCTTTCAAAGGAATCCGGATGGTGATCTTATTCATAACCATCTTGTTAATCGGGATCTGGATCTTTGTCTTCTTGATATGAAATAGTTAATGAAAATATGAGTTACACTAATCCAGTAAGAATATCATACTATTCACCGATACAAAAACTGAAAGTTAGTAAAAATCATAAAAATAACCAATGAAGCTCTTGATTTAAGTAAATTCATTTATCATAAGGAAAAACTATTTATTGTATATTTACTATTGCGAGATTTTTAAAATCAACTTATAGAGATACAATAATTCAAATAACATTCCAATATCATTTTTAAGTGAGCAATAATAACCATTTTCCCTTTTTTATTTGTCTACTGGTATCCTTGGGGGTCCATAAGGATGTCTCACTACACGTGAACTAATATTCAACATTATCAACTAACTGGCCGTCCCATACATTGTCTGATATGAGCGCTAAAAATACAATCACTCGATACCTCATCCAGTATAACGATGAATCGGACCGTCTCCATACCCCGTTTGGTATGAGCGCAAAAAATATCAATCCTCTGGATATCCCGTCTAGTATGACGATGAATCGGACCATTCCCATACCCCGTCTGGTATGAGCGCAAAAAATATCAATCCTCTCGATACCCCGTCCAGTATATATAACGATGAATCGAATCGTCCCCATACCCTGTCTGGTATGAGTGCCAAAAATATCAATCCTCAATACCTCGTTCAGTATGAGACAACGTTCACGGTAGGGTTTCCTATGTACCCGGTCCGTCCACCATCTCTCAGAATATCCAGTGATGCTACCATTTATTAATTTACATGACCAATCAATTTTTAGTTTGTATATTAATTACCAATTTTATAAATTAACCGTAAATCACGCAAGACAAACTATATATATATATATATATATATTAAGGAAGCACAATTGAATCAATTAACCATTCTAGTATATCATCATGCATTTAAAGGTATAAATTCAACTATCAATTAAACAGGACAACAAATAAATGACTAACCAGTTTTCGACTTCATTGGTAACCTGTAATTATTCTCAAAATTTTTTAAATTACACAAAATACCATATTACCAATTATTAAGCTTAAATTATATAACAGAATAAGGTGAGGGATTCTTACTTGAATCGGTGTCTGAAATACTGAACTTTTTACTGTGGCTACTGGCGATCTCCGGGTTTCCTGAATCTTTCTACAGTGATTAAAACACGCTTTACGTACTTAAAAATACTCTAAAAAATATAAAATCAGTGTTAAAAATATTTTTCGATCAATTTCAGAATTTCGGCACTGCGGCACTGCCGCCTGCAAGGGCGATTTGTCTCGGTCTGGTTGTTTTTGGAAAGTTTTGGCCGATTTCGACCAGTTTTATACTCATTCCTATGAGAAACAAGTTAGTTGGACTCGGTTGGCTGAAAAAAGTCAAAAAATAAAAATCAAATTTTTCGGTGCAGCGGCCGAATTTTTCGGTGCGGCGGCTCTGCCAGTTCACCTTTGCAGCTGGATGTTTTTCTTCAGTCAACCTGTAAAAAATAGAACAGTGAACACAATGGTGAAAAAATCTCACGAAACAAAAAACGAAAAGGGGCTCATCAGAGGCGATTTCGGGTTTTGTTTGCGGTGGTGGCGGCGTACTTTACTCACAGTTTTCGGCTCATCCACCGTTCCTTTTGCTCCAATTTGGTCATGGAGGTGCTCAAAATCAAATTCCAAGTGGATAAGAGAATTTTTACCTTTTTTGGCGGTCAGAGGTGGCTCTGACGCAACAGGGGGAGACGATCGGCTCCCTTCTCCAACGACTGGTTCTTTTCTTCAGCGGGAGGCTGGCGGATAGTGTTTGGGTTCAGTGTGATGCGAGATATTTATACCCGTCTTCCTTAAATTTGGGTCATTCATTGTGTTTGATTTTCACCATCTGATCGCGTTTAAAGAAGAAATGAATCTGGACCATTCATCGTGATTTGATCTCGACTGTTTGATCGCGTTTAAAGAGAAAACGAATCTAAACCGTTCATTGCGTTTAATCGCGACCGTCCGTGTAACGACCCCAGAAACTCTAAAGGAGATAAATTATAAATTTAGTGCGAAAGCAAAATAAATAGTTAGGGTTTATATTTTTTACATAATAACTGAAGTACCAAATAAGGCATACAAGAATAACCCTTCTAAAAGAATAACTAATAACCAAAAAAATAAATTAAAAGTAAACAACCTGAACATTCTACTCGTAACCCTCTTGTGGATCGGGCTTTGGATCCTGATCATTTTAATATGAAATGGTTAATGAAAGAGTGAGCTACACTAGCCTAATAAGAATATCACGTTACTCACCGACACAGAAATGAAGGTTGGTAGAAATCATAAAAATAACTAATGAAGCTCTTAATTTAAGTAAATTCGTTTATCATAAATAAAATTATTTACCGCATACTTACCGTAGCGAGATTTCTAAAAATAACATGTATAGTCAATAATATAACACATATCATAATTTTATATGCAATCAGTCGAAACAACATCATTCCCTTTTATCAGCCTACTGGTATCCATGGAGGTTCATAGGGATGTCCCCACTACGCGTGAAGTATGTTTTAATATTTTCAATTAATGGACC